CATACAGAATTCTCCAGACCTAGTGCATTTTGAAAGATCTGCAAGGGTTACTGAACTTTTTGAGCTAAGGATTTCTACTGAGAAAAACCATGTCGTCTGACATAGACATGGGAATGTCCAGATTGCTGTGACAGGCCTCGTTGTTAGAGGAACACAAAAATGTAAGTGTGCATTTTAAAAGGAAAGCGGTGGTGTCATTCTGGCTTGTCACACAGCGTTACACACAGAGCAACGGACGGCGACCATTTGGCCTGTCAGCACTCATTGTGGGATTTGACCTGGACAAGACGCCACGGCTGTACCAGACAGACCCTGCTGGGACATACCACTCATGGAAGGTGAGTAGGACTCATCAAGGAGACACTCCCCCTGGCGTTGGTCAACATATATTAATTGCTGATTTGGGGGGCACTTCGGTGTTGTAACCGTTAAGGATACGAGCTTGCATTGGGCAGTCCACAGCAAGAGTGTGCCTTACTAGACACATAAGTATTACGTATATGTTTACTTGATTGATTTATCAGTGAGCCTCTTCCTTGGTTATCTTTTTCTTAACCATCAAACAGAGGGGTCATTCTCTAAATTCAGGGTCCACAAGTGTGATAATTTTGAATCCCTGTTACACCTGAGCTTTGTAATTTGCCGTGGAATTTTCATCGAAATTGACTTGCAACTGTTTTTGTTTGGCAAGTAATATGCATTTCTGAATCACTCTTAGAAATGAAAGAATATATTCTAAACCTAAACCCACAAAATCATAATGTCAGAAGTGACAAGGACACACAAAATGAAAGCGAATGACCACAAACTTCTTCAACCATCTCTGTGCCTGAAATGTCTTTCAACAACAAAGTGGATCAAACACTAAGATCGACAGTCAAAAGGAGCAAGTGGATGGTGTACATAATGAAAGTGCTTTTGTGACAAAATATTACTTTTGGCAATCTGGAGTTTGACTCTTCTCCCCTTTGTCATTGTTGATGATGCCAGGAGTAAACATTGGATGTAGCAATTGCAGAAAACTGACCAGTTGATGAATCAAACAGTAATTAGGAAGAGACATCTGAATATTTTGAGCATATTAAAAAAAAATTGAAAGTGAGGCTTGGAACTTAAAATAGTCAGGCTTGAGTGTTATTCCCCTCAGGCTAACGCCATCGGCCGGAGCGCAAAAACAGTCCGAGAGTTTCTGGAGAAGCACTGGACGGATGAACTGGTGGAGTCGGAACACAACACCGTCAAGCTGGCCGTGAGGGCACTTCTGGAAGTGGTGCAGTCTGGCGCCAAGAACATTGAGCTGGCGGTCATGAGGAAAGGCGAGAGGCTGAAGGTGGGTGCCCGACCGGCCGATTTGAGATATCACCTCAGAGATTGGTGTCTGATATCTCGCAACATTTGTGGCAAAGCATGTCAAGAACTTTATGTTTGCTGATTTTTTCTGGAATTTCACTTCCATGAAGTAATCACGTTACCAGTTACCTGTTGTTCTCAGACATCTCTCATAAAGACTGTCTCAGCATTTTGCCTTTTATGATTTCTTTAATGTTCTTTTAGATCTACGAAACGGAAGAAGTTGAGAAGTTTGTGGCGGAGATCGAGAAGGAGAAAGAAGAAGAAGCAGAAAAGAAAAAACAGAAGAAAACCACAGGCCAGACATCATAATGATGTCAGTACTGTTTTGTAGTATTCGTTTTTGGGTTTTTTTTTTTTTTAACATGTTTTGGGTAGAATGCGGCCCACGTCATTGACTTTATGTCAGTTCCAGTTTGTGGACAAAAGTCGTCATCACACACATGCAAATTGAGCCCTACATGGGCTAAACGAGTGCCCCCGATGACCTGAATTTATTCCATCTTCATTTCCATGCCATCTTAGTCGTGTAAATTTATTCCATGGACTGTGGGAACACCCCAAAGCTGGACTTCATTTCTGCCATTCTGGGGTGAGTGAAACTCCACCTGGGCTCGAGTTTTCCCACCATGAGCTGGGTGTACGTAACCTAGTGAGGATTCGTTTACTGCGGCGTTAATTTGGCTGAATTTATCCCACCAACCATGGTCTGAGTGTAAACTCGGCGGGCATATCACTGTGGGCTTAAGTGTTAACTATGGCATAGAATGTTACCCCAGTCATGGGAGAGATTAACGCAGTGGAGTTTCCCGTAGTCCGTCCTGTAGGTTTTCTGTAGACCTTTGTCGATTCTATTGCAGTTCACAGGCCGTGTCGGAGCCAGGGCCCAATGCCACGGACCCTGCTGAACAGTAAGCAGAAAAGTTGCGCTTACTGTTGCAAAAAACTTTGCTAACCATAAGCACTATTTCATGGCGGTGCTTGACGTGGTTGTGCATGCATAGAGATTTTCATTGTTTTGTCTTTGTTAAGCAAATTTGTTCCTCCAAGGTAAGCGTGCCTTTTGCCTAGCCTACGGTCTTTACAAAATACACGAATTGTATGTTAGCATAAAATCTTGTGCTTAGCAGCGCCATGAAATTGGGCCAAGGTTTGGAATAGACAGGCAGTCAACATTCTTGTGAGAGTTGATGGCACACCTATCTTGTCCAAAGTGTTTTTCTCACGAAAGTTCAAACTAACATAGATATTGGTCTACTCGATGTATCAAACGAAAGCTGCTTCGTACATGTATGTAATTTGTACTGTTTTGTTGCACAGTGGACGGTAAAATAAAAATGGTCATTATCCATCAAATTTGCATTTCTGCTGTTTTTTAATTTTTTGAGAGAGCTGTAATAGAGCCCTTTTCCCCCCGTGGGACAAGTTAACGTTGAAAAAATGGCATAATAGAAATAAATTCTGAACTCCAGCTTGATTAAATGAATTAAATGTTTGAGGATGGTCAAGAATCTGAACATTTAAAGAAAACTAAGGGTGCACTAAAAGGTTCGAAGCATTTACACAGGTTTGGAGATTCGAGTCAGTCATCAAAATAGTCAAATGTGTACTTAAAGTGTGTGGTCAACCTAGCCTCAGAGCTGGAGTCCAATTCCTACCGTACTACCTGATATGTGTCCCAGGTTTAACTTGGGACCCCTGAACAGATAGCAAAGTTGAAGGTGACTGTACTTAAAAGAATAATGTACTATGAAATGAAACTGATGGCAAGGCTGTTCAGAGTTGAAATGACAGTCTTCTCATTGGCAAAAAAGGCACTCAAGTGGCCTCATGTTGCTATCAGCAAATGACAAATGTTTCTTCATGTACATCATGCTATTTACCAATATCGTGTTATTTCTTCGTCACATTCAGCCCTGGGTGACTGCTGTTTTAAAGGAAATTAACATTTGCAGTAGGAAGGACAATAATCTAACAAGATCACACTTCATAAATTACTAATCAATTGATTTTATTACGCATTAATTTGCAAATCTTTTTTTTCGTCATTCTGGTCATCAGAAGTATAAAAATAAACTACTGTCCATACTTTCCTTAAGAAAATTGGATTCGTTTTCCCTTGAATAAAATGTTTTTATTCTGGGCGTTGATTTTCCTAAACTGAAGTCAAGCGGAACCTCAGTGGCACAGAACAGGATGGTCGATGTGAAGTGAAGACACTAAGACCGAGTCGGTATCTGAACATTCAACCTTCCATTCAATCAAATCTTTCATTATTCAGATGTACCAAATTGCCATGAAAGCAGAAACAAAATATACTTGTTTTCCGAAATGTAAACAAAACAAACTTCTTGGAAAAATCTCTTTGGTTATTGTTGGGCCCATGCATTAAGCTGCCTTTTAATAAGTGTACACAACACTTTGAAATGTCCTCTTTAAATGCCATTTTGTAACCAATTAATTTGAAAATTTCCCTTTTATTAATACATCGATTTTCACCTCATTCAATTCGGAAAGAAATATTTAAATATTCAGAAATCGATAAAATATTGCAATGTTTGAATAATCAGCACAGCCACTGAAGAAACATGTTTAGTTCCCCCGGTTTTACCCAGAATATAAACTGCAGTTAGTAAACTGTTCACGATGTACTTATATTGTACTTTGTACCTGTAATCTCATTTTTCCTTCTAAAGCCCTGAGATTTTTCCTTCTCGAGCCGTTCACATTGAAGGACGCGTGAGCACAATCTGATCATAATCTGTACTGGCAGGGGCAGCTGATTCAGGCACTGAGCATTTCCCTGAGTTTCTGGTGGTGGACGTGAATACGTGCTGTATTTCCCATTTGTTTTATACAAGGACCTGATGTCAAGTACGCCGAGGCGGACAGGGTATTAAACTTGACCGCTGTACACAGACTGTGCATGGACCATTTAGACAGGGATGTGCAATCTCAGATCAGAGCTAATTCAATGAATGTTACGGCTGGCAAAGTATCAAAGGGGAAATGACATGCACATGACACTGGCTGAATTATACGTACATAACACCTCAAGCTACAGCAGTGCAAACTGCAATCATTTTTCTGTGATGAATAATGGTGATGTCAAGCATGTGAAGCTGCAGTCAAAATCATGTGTACTCCTTTTGGGAAGGAGTGCTTGAAGTCATGTTTTAGATTGTACATCTGTACTTTTCCACCACTTTGTTTGCTTTTAATGCCTTAATGTTTCAAACTCAGCATACAACCTTTCATAGAGTATGATACTCAAGGTATCATAAACCTGATCAATGGGTCTGCATGTATTTCTTTTCTCTTTAAAAGTGATAAAGAAAATTGCTCTTCAAAACAACATGAGTAAATTGAAACTTAGGCACAACACGTCATGTGGTCACGAGTTTTCTCAAGAATGGTCGAGAACAATCTGTAACACGCACGGAACCGAGATCCTAAGTATTTTTGCACTGGAGCTGGTCGAAGTTGCACATCCCTGTTTAAATGGTCCATGAACCTATGGTAGCATATCTTGCTCTGGTGAGAGGGGGCTGGGGTATTACCAACTTGCACTACAAATTATCCAAATGACTGTCAAGAATCAGTATTTGTGGCAATTGGTTGTGGAATAAGGTTTCCATGGCTGCCATCTTGCTGGCCAGTGCTTTTGTTCCACAGGGTATACACAAAGGAGGTTTCCCTGTGAGAAAAAAAGAACTGCCCTGCAAGATGGCTACCATGCAAAGCCTCTATTAAAGTGGGCCAAATGTATGCCTTTTTCAAAAGTCCAGTTTGTTGGCCAGAAATCTTGTGTAGCAAATGTGTTCAGCTCTTTTTGTCAATCCTGCCAAATTTTCCTAAATCCTGTGGATTTCCAATGAAACCTTGCTGTGATGTCGCAGGCACACTCACCAGAGGTCATGTTACAGTAAATTTTGCCTGACAAAGAGGACTTCATTCCGAGGAGACCTTCAACCGAGAACATTGAGAATACAGCTACAAGCACCGAGGAAGTAGGAGACTTATGGTCATTTTTGTCTGTGGTCAGAACCGATAGCTTCCCCAACTGTCTTGTAGCCATTTGCCCTTGGGGGAAAAAAGAAAAATAATTGTGAATGTATGGTATCTTCAAGGCCTTAAAAATGCCATGAAAAGAACTAGTATGGGGGACCGCGTAACATACTGAGGTGAAACATGGTTACTCCTGGAAAAAAAAAGCTACATGTAATCCCAAACTTCACAGCGAACAGAGAACAGAAAACATCTGAACTGTAAATTGTCTTATTCTGTTCATCAACTAACTTCATACAAAAATGTTAGCTTTATGTGCACAGCCAGGCTTTCAGAATTTCCCTAGCAAGACTTCACTTTTTTTCAAGATGTATTTTTTGCGTTGGGGAGATGTTAATTATATATAACAGGTTTGCCCTTACCCAACGTATATTAATAAGCACTGTATGCTCAGTGCTTGTCCGAGAGCTTGGGAAAAAACCTCACAAGCTTACTACGTTGGGTAAGGGCAAACCTGTTATATATAAGACTTCACTTTTCAAACCTTAGTGTTTTTCTTCCTGATAGATTTCTGAGCAATTAATGAAGTCGGTTACTGGTAACTGATCCCAGAATGTAGCGCCAATTGTTGTCAACAATGGTTGGGTACTTGGGTATCTGGTTCCCATTAATGTACAGGTCTAGGAGGCATGATCTTGTAAAACATTTCTAACAAATCCAATATACTTCCTTCTTGCTCCTTAAATTCCAGAGAGAAATCTACAACCCCCCCCAAAAAAAGAAGGGAACTCTAGCTTACTTTAATAAGTCATCCAACTCGCGTTTAATCCTCTTGACAAGGGGAGGCCCTTCGTAGGCTAGTGCTGTGTACAGCTGTATCAGGCATGCCCCTGCCTTGATCTTCTCGTAGGCATCTTGACCCGAGCTGATTCCGCCCACTCCAATGATTGGCAACTCACCTGGAGTAAGAGAGAATCATTTGGCTTACAGGTTTAATACAATTTGCTTATAGAGGCTGTTACCACCTCAGTTGAGGGACCACAAGGTAGAGAGTGGCATCAGTGACAGGACTAATTTTTCTCTTAGTTTGTTTGTGTATAAACTTGCGTTACAGATTAAAAGCTACCATTATGCAAATCAGTACGAAGCTGAAGGGGAAAGGCAGTCAAGATGGATCAGAGGTTTGAAAATCAGCTGTGGTTTGCCTTGAAGGAAAACTCGAAACAGAGTCTCTAGTTGATGTATCACTGCTGTCGGGGGAAAAGTTCAGAAACTATTTGTCAAATCATTTGATGGAGAGGGCTTGTGGAGTTGGTGAAGTGAACACTGAAGTGCGAAAACAGGAACAAACTCAACGAGACAACAAAGAGAGCATGCTGAATCCACAGGCTCAAATGGGGGACAATGAACTAAGTCTTCACATTAGCCAGAGTGGGATTCGAACCCCGATCACAGATTTGAATTTGTCCAGGCAAGTGCTTTATCAGTGTGTTTCCCAACAGCATGGTGTAGTAGAAACTTGATGGTGCATGGAAAATTGTGGCACGGTGGACTTTCTCTTAGAAAACAAGGGTGCCTACCATTTGTGAGTCTGTACATGTCTCTCACTGTGTCCGTTGCCATGTGTCTGAGGGGAGGTCCACTCAGCCCCCCACTCTCTGTCTTGTTTGGACTCTGTAGACTAGCTGGACGGGTGATGGTAGTGTTGGTCACTATGAGTCCGTCCACTTTACCCTGCAAAGGAGAAGCAATGCAGAGTTTATGTGTGCTGAGATCTCCGTGTTTTCATACATGCAGCTACACTACTGAATAGACCTAGCGTCCTCTGAAAGTTAGCCACGCACCTCAGGTGACTTAGAACACAAGCTGTTTTGTATTTGTGTGTGCGATGCATGACACATGCTCCTAGTAACATACAAGAGCCAATTGCATACACACTCTCAAAGTGTCTGCTGCATGTATGTACCTGATGTAGGCATCCAAGGCTGTCTTGGATTTCTCAGACATTTCTTACCGTGTGCATGCCACATGGACCATACCTACGTGTTGTACATGTATTAGCCCAAAGCTGAATCACAGGCAGTGCTGCAGTACTCGATTTGCCTGAAGACTTTTCTTCTATATGAGGTTACATTATTAAAGACAGAGAGGAAAATTTGTGGGAAATGAAAAGTATGTAGATGAGAAAAGTATCACATTTTCATTTTCCTGACACTATTTATAAGACTTTCCCATTCCCCATTTTTTTACCATGTTTATGAGACAGTTCAAGACTTAAGTGCAGATAGAAGTTATGGCTCAGTCACGGTGCTGTGAACAAGACAAGGAGATCAAACATGATATCAGGCCGAGTGTTTGCTTTCACATTTGATGTGCATTCCCATATTGCATATCAGTGAACCCAGCAATGAAAAGGCCTGACAGACGCACATACCTGTGGATTGTACATGTTTTGTATCTCTGGTTTTTCCACGATTAGGAACATCACATGATATATGACAGACGCTGTGATTGGATAATGCTTTTGAAGTGCATATAATCCTATAGTTCCTTGACTTAATATCACCGGTTAAAGAACTGCTTGTGGTAAAAAGGCAAAAAAATGCACAAAGCAACATTAGCCCCTTAACTTGGAGAAAGTGCAGACTATCAAGTTTTGAATGAAATCAGGAAATGTTTTTAGTCGGTACCTGTTTTCTGGTGGCGACAGCTGCAATGTCCTCTTTGTCTTGCTGAGTCAAATCCGGTGCAATCTTAACTAACAGGGGAGGTCTAGGCGAGCAGGGTAGCTGGTCTCTTGCTTCCAGCACCTATGTGTCAAGAGTAACACAATTAAACCAATTTTAACCAGAAAACATCAGCACTCATTTTTCAAAGACAGCCAGAAATGTATGCATTTCCAATTGACATGCCCCGAGCACACCGGTGGCTTGAACTTCAAATGGCTATAAATATCAAAACCGTAGGTTAGATTGAGATGAAATTTCACACGCATAAGGTAGGGTATCTGTGCATGCATGTCAAGTTTTAAAAAACCAATGGATCCTGATACAGCCGAGTTCTTGGGGGCAGAATCTGCCCCTCCCCTCTGCCGTGAGATGGTCCAAAACCCCTTGGCTCTTTTAGGGTTAATATACACTAGACTCAATCTTCAAGTGCTCTGCTCTATCTCCTAGTCATCTAACAACTAACTACCACACCTTGTCAATTAACTGCCCCAGCTGTTCCCTGCCTTGCATCTTCCGGAGCCCTGGCGTGTTTGGACTGGAGACATTGATGACCAAATAGTCCCCTAGGCATCCGAAGCACTTAACCCCCCTCACATAATCGTTGACGGCATCCGGGGAAGTCTTGTTCTTGCCAAGGTTGATCCCTACAATCCCTCTTTTTCCTACAATTTCAAGAGCAACGTAACTCAGAATACCAAGAAATTTGCAACAAATAAATCTTTGCACTCCTTGGCCTCTTTACACCAAGTAAACACAGAGAGGGCAGCTAAACACATTCCGACGAATTCTGTGCTGGGTGAGATCTCTACTCATGCCTACCCTTGAGTGATTGTCGGCACTGAGTCTCCAACAGGTTTAATAAGGTTGGGTGTGTATGAGGCCCTGAAACATTGAGGGCCATAGCTAGGCACTGTAGTAAATATCACTTTTTGAGGGTCCCAGTTTTTTTAAACAGCAATAGTGTGGCAGGAAATTTCATACAAATATTAAACAAATGACCACCAAGAGACAAGTTGGGAAATTAGTGACAGGTTTTACCCAGTACTGATTGCAACAACATCTATCCCACTGTAATTTAATCAATAACATATACAGTACTATGACGGCCATATCCACCCTTTGTGATGTGTTATACATGTACATGTAGACTTTTATTATTGGTCAGCAATATTGAAATTGAAAATGAGGTTAAATCTTCCTTTTTTATTTAAAGTTAAGATTAGAAACAAAAGCAATTAAATGAAATTTTATGACAAACTACTACTTGTCTACTTTGGAAATTAATTTCAATTTTTAATCAAACATACAAAACTGTGCCTTTTGCTTAAAGCCAGATTTAGAAATATATTGTAAGGGAAACTTGAAAAGTAGGGCCATCATAAAACACTCTGGTCCATCCTGATCGACAGTTTGCAATTAATAAAACGGATTCAAGGAATAAGACTGCAACTGGCTTTTATGTGAATAATGTTGGTTGTCATTTTCCCAGGTTTGCAGAGATTCAGGCACTGTGACTTGAGGTGTGAACTACATGTACATGTATACAGCCACATGGCTTTAATAAATTCCACGTCCTCTGACTAGCACTTCCCAATTCACAAACCTGACAATAGGAGACAGCAAACTTGGGGAATTCAGCTAAATAGAAAACCTGTGCACAGTGGCCCTAGTTCAAGTTCTCCTCCAGTCTATTTCTTTACTCAACATAATATCGACATACTGCAATAATATTCTGAAGCTTGCATTGATAACGCTATCACTACTCTGCTTTGTGGACACAAGCACCCCTAAAAGTGGGACAGGTGGTGTTGAGCAGGGGAGAATCATAGCCAAAAGCATGAATATTGACAAAGAAATGCCTCTATCACAGTTGACTTGAAAAGCCCAGGACTTTGCTAGACAAGTAGTGACTGACATGTGATGACTTGGTTTATAAGATGACCAGTTAGAAACAGGTGATGACTTGGTTTATAAGATGACCAGTTAGAAACAGGTGATGACTTGGTTTATAAGATGACCAGTTAGAAACAGGTGATGACTTGGTTTATAAGATGACCAGTTAGAAACAGGTGATGACTTGGTTTATAAGATGACCAGTTAGAAACAGGTGATGACTTGTGAGACGTTACAAACAACTTGCCACAAAGTTGATAAATGATGCGAGTGTGGGTGGCGCTGTCTTTCACCTGCTGGCAAGTGTGCCTTTGCATCGGCTCTGTCTTTTAACCTCTGAAGAACTGCAGCGTGCCCGTCACTGTTGAAGCTATACCTACATGTACAAAGGTACAGTAACCAAATAGATCATTAATGACTGTGACGTCAAAACTAAATGGCTCTTTTGGTCACGCGGTGATACATGCTATAGTCATAGCAGTGTTACTTCATTTGATGAAATAGCTCATCAAAACAAAGGTAACATTCTACAATACACAGATCCAGGAAAGTCCCTGGAATGCTGGCAAAAATTCTAATACTGTCGTTGACCCCGAATTTGAAAAAAAAAACCAGCTCCCTAAGCTCCAATCTCGCGAGAGACATAAGAGATTGTGAAGTATTGCCAGGGAACCAAATTTACTTGTTTGGGTATGGCATGCAGAAGAAAACACCTCAAAGTCAGAGCAATGGATCGGTGGCATGCAGCCCGACAGTGAAGGCAACATTTTGTGGCATCAAATAGTGAGCTCCATTCCACCCATGCCTTAGCACTCATCTGTGCACATTACTAATTACTTATGTACTCACAGTACTGCCACTAAATTGGCATACCAACGACAAAGTGATGGCTGCGATTATCAAGAAAATTCCATTACCATCAATGGTGCTGAATTTCAGCAAATGTCATCTACTGTAAGATTAAAAGGCAATGACAGTGATCTTGATTAAAAGCTGAATTGCACGCTCTTGTAGGATCTTGATGGGCTTCATACATATGCAACAGCATTATCAGGGTCAAGTAATTCCTAATCTACCTGTTGACAATGGCCTTGTCCTCCGACAGCCTAAAGACCCTCGGCTTGGGGTTCCCTTCTTGTGGTTCGGGGGTCACACTGCCAACTTCCACAAAACCAAAACCCATCTTGAGCATGCCGTCCATGGCCTGCGCGTGCTTGTCAAACCCAGCCGCTAGTCCGACGGGGTTGCTGAAATGACGTCCCCAGACCGTCACTCCCTGAAAGTTACAAGGGAATACGTGTAACAAGATATGATGTACTGAGGTCACGTCAGATGCAAAGAATGCATCACAGGTGCTCACGAGACGATATTAATCTGCTTGACATGAAAACAGAAAACGTGTTCATACATGTACACGTTATACAATTTGCTTTGCCCTCTGAGGTACCAGACAAGGAAGCACAAGGGTGTGTATGATTTCTACAATGCACTTTTCTGCATTTACCTGTGCTGAGACAAAACTACATGTAACTACAGTTACTGTCAGTGTCAAGGAAACCTTGTTTTTCAACACAATTTGGGCATGAAACTCAGCCTTGATGAAAGGAATGTCACTGCTTGTCGATCACAGTATTCCAGATTCAACTAAAAATACTGCAGGGCTGCCCATTGAGCCTATCAATGCCCCCCCTCCCATTGTGTTCTCTTGGCCACTCAGAATCTACCGTGTAGACCATGTACAGTACATGTATATGTATGAATATCTTACGAGAGATGGTGGGTCCTTGAAGGTATTCCAAGGCACCAATCCCCATGCAGCTGTCTTCACTGCCAAGACGTGGGCGGACTCTGCACTGACTGCCCTCAAGCTTGGCATGGCAATGTCTCGGTAAAATTTCTCGCTGCCCAGCCCGAGGCACAAGCCCCCGAACAGAGCTGTACCGCAACTGAGTATCACGGCTGCTGATTTACTCTTCGACTGGGAAAGTAAACGTACATGTATACTCATGTCAAACACCATTTTATTTGTTTGGTTGATCACCGTCCGTGAACCATATTTTAAAAATTCTGAATCCTCTGTTGTGATCCACAGGTGTGGAAAAACAAGCCAGAATAAAAGGCATATTTTGGGTGCGATGGGTTAATCCACACCATAAGTAGACTGCTACAGAATTAGTCAATCTTAAACATGATTTGTCAATATTTTCACAAACAGCAAATCATCTTATTCTTCCTCATTCAAAGACTAAGATAAATTGTTTTGAAATGGAAAGCAACGTCTGAGAGTTCCTGGCGGATGACAGACCATTAGCACAGCAAGAGTAACTGACCATGCAAATCAACCAATTATGCCAATCGACAGATCACTTATAAAGTATTTAAGACAAACCCATGAAAACTATACATAAATAATTACCATTATCAGCTGCTAAAATCGTAACATCAACAATGACCATGGTTATTAGAACTAAGGCCGTTTTCCAATACTCAACTTCGGCTCTGTCTCAGGCTTCAACTGTTTTTTGACTAGCTGACTTTGAAGCTATAAGGGCAGTAATTAGTCCAATAGTGCCCCAAAACATCAAATAAGATGCAAGAGAATAAAAAATTACATAATCCAATGTAATGTACATGCTTCAGGCCCATAATCAGGGATTGGTTTTGGGAACGAAGACTGAGACGGAGACAAAGTTGAGTATTGGAAAACGGACAGAGACTGTCCACCATGAGCACCAATAGTTCTGCTTTTTATAAAAACATGCACAGACCGGTACTGTCAACACTACTAACAAACTTACACTTACACATGTACATGTATGTAGAAACTTATGTGTACAGGCATTAGCTTGTTCAATATTTAAAACTTCTAAGAGCCATGTTTATCAATCCACAATTCCTCCTAAGTACGGTATGACTGGTTAAAATACACAATACCAGTATATAGGGTAGTTGTACAGTAACAAATCCCAACATAAAGGGGGGAGGAGGGTGCAGCTAGTGCCCGCCCACTTAAATGTATTTTCAGTTAAAAAAATCAAATACAACTGGATGCAAGCAAATTAGACTTGGGAACAAAACTTCCAAAAGCCCACGGCAGTTTAACCTTGAAAAAGCCAACTTGTGAAGTTTTCGTTTTGTTGTTAGGACCATCTGAAGTTCAGTGTCACGTTGCACGTTGGCCTGCATTCATCAAGGATGTCACTGGAAAAAAGTCTACATTTTCGGCTGGCCTGTCTAAGAGGAAAGATGGATGCTGCGCAAGAATGACACGTGTGATTTTCACAAAAGTTAGGTGTCGAAAAAACTGCATAAAAATTTCTGAAACAACTCCTGAGCCTTGAGGACTCCATGCTTAAAAAAGTTCCCCTGTCAAGACACTAAACAATTTAAAGGTCAAAAATTTAAGGTGCAGTTTTTACACACCGACATGCAATTTCTCCAAAGACAGATAATCAAATTTACTTGAACATATCAGGGAAAAAGGTATAGTGGAGCCGATTCCATCCCCCCAAAAATAAGTTTTAAAATTGCACTGGACATGACCGGATACTAATTCAAGCACTCAGTCACCAAATGTAAGTCACAACACAGTCACTACTTGGTTACGAAATAAAGACAGACATGACAGAGTAGGCTTAGTGACTTTGAGTTCCCAAAGTAACCAGATGCCAGTAAAATATATGTTGGATATGATCCGTTGACAGGTGCAAATGCTCCATCTTTGCACAATGGGTCAATCTTAGTGCATGATTTGTTGGTAATTTCACCATAACTCAGCCAATTGCCTTCTCATTCTTATTCATAGTCGTGAATGTGAAAAATTATTTCCAAAAAGGGAGGTAAAGTTGGAGATTTCATGAAGAATCAACCAATCACACAGAGCGATCAGGCAATCGTGCAGATCGACTGATCATGCTCAAAATACACACTTCACATCAGTCGAGCATCGAGTCATGCCAGTAATACCCACAATATCTGAGTGATGCATGTACATGTATGTCTGGCAACAAGTTTTTTTACATAATACTGTACGTTGGGCATGTGGGTACGTACAATAGGTGGGACAGATAAGCTTTACCACAATTATTTTGCACAATGGTACAAGGAAAAGGGGGCAATGTTTCCTCCTTTTTCCTTCCCACTTTCTACAATTGTGCAAAATCACCCATGCAGTATTTGCGATAAAGCTTATGGGCATGATAGGCCTTAAGTAAACAGGGGAAGCTTCCACATGAAGACTAGTCTCCTCTCAAATATGTTACATATGTAATACACGGACTGAGCGATAAGATACTACATGTACCACTGGGCTTTTCCAAAATTTGGGCAGCAGTTTAGATGTCTTGACATGGAAGATCCGTCGAGATGATGAGGGGTCAAGTGACGTATTGTTCAACGTTCTTATTTTAAAGATGGTGACTGAGAGAGCGAGCCCGTTAGATTGAATGGATAAAGGCAAAAAGACTAGAAAATACCTCAATAACATGAGTGAAATCATTCAATAAATAGTTTTTAGAAAGCGGAAACGTCAAGAATCATGTTCGTGTGCAAAAGAAATTGCGCCCACGATGATAAGTGGGTGCGCCAAAAATGTTCAGTACGCCGACACGAAATTGCGCATACGGATGTGTGGCTAAGGATGGATCAGGAGAGTGAGAGTCCGTGCCACAATAGTGGGGCAAGGCCTTATGCTAAAGTTGGGACGTAATCACAGCAATAAAGCTTACGGCCCGGCATACACATGATGAGGCCGGCCTGAAAACATTGAAGGGTAAGTAATGTTGACAATGATTAGACATTATCAAATACTCACAGCCATGTTGGGTGTTCCAGCCGATGAATAATGATCATCAAGTCAACAGAAAATTATCACGCAAAGTTCGCATACCCCGCGAAATCATTTGGTAGTTGGTGATTCCTACGTTATTTACTCCACAGAAACCACCAGTCTCTCTCGCAAAGTATTGAGTTTAAGTTTCAAAAAAATCAAAATGAAACCAAGAATACAGCTAAAGAAAGCTTATTAATATTTTGAAATGTAATTTTTGGATAGGGTAAACATACTGTATGAATTAATTTCTTGAATAAATTTACTACAACTTGATGAATCTGATACACGTGGAAGGATCCGGATAGAATTGACTTTAGTATCGTCTGCATCAGTCAGTCCAGCCAGAGTGGGGTTTCTGTGCTTAAAAAGTGTCCATAATGACAGCGTTTGCCGGTTTGTGTTTTGTTAATCTTTTTGGAAGTTTCTCTTCCCAGGAGTTTAAGCTTTTTACATGGGTATTCTGTGTAACTATATTGTAGCATTAAATAGAGCAAACGTGAAAAGGTTGCGTGCGCCGGGTCGCAGCAGAAGTGCCACGTACATGTACATACTGTACATGTAGACCACACTGTACATCATAAGTAATGGCCTAAACGTACAGACACTGTTCTGTGCACAAAGTCATATGCATGTTCATCGTGTTTATTCTCGGGGTCGGAGGTTGTTCCATTCATTGCACTCACTCTGGGCAAAGGGGCAACTCTCTATTCACTTTATAGAGGGATTTGCATATTTTCCTCCTTTTTTGCTGCAGCGTGATAAAAATAACTTAAAACCTTTTTGGTACATTGTGTGGGAGATATTCATATGATGCATAAATAGTGAAATTTCAGGCATAGCCTATTTGATGCACATGTAAAAGTTAAGAATAGGAGTTCAATTCAGCTTTTACCATAGACAATATAGACTGTAACACTATTTTGCCCCTTTGAGTTTCAAGTGTGAAATATGGAATAACACCAATTGACCAATCAGAGAGAAGAATCAGGACTCAGTGATGTCATCCCGACCTCAAGAATGTGGAAGAATTTGTGTTTGCTTGAAGTTGTAGGCCTAACTGTGACACAATCAGCATGACATCACATTGTGCGATTGATGTTCCGTGCATGCAGTCTTCGAAAGTGCACAATTTGCACAACTTGTGCAGTTTTTCTTAGGTTGTGCATATTTTAAATGCGACAGCAACTGCAGATAGCATTGAGCACAATCTGTGACATGTTTGAATGTGCACTACTTTTGTGCTTGAACTATGTGATTTCTAAACTTAACAGGCTTAAATTTAAAGGGAGTACATGTACATGTGGGTCTAAGCGACCTAGACATGATGGTTACCATTTGATGGGATGGCTATGGTGGACTGGTTCCCATTCCCTCAGCTGCTCAGAATTCTCCAGCTATCTCAATTCTTGGGATGGGCACCAGTTAAGCCGGGTAACTGTTGCATTGAGTAAAGGCTAGAACTCTAATTTCTAGTACCATCGTTAGCTACCTCCATGCTAGGACAAACCAATGGGTTTTGGGGTTGTTTGAAAATCCTTATTGTCCCTGATTGTTATTTGTTTTCTGTTGGGTCCTACTTTTGTTGCACTTTTTATTTTTCTAACTAAAGAGCTAAAGCTTTTTAGAAGGAGGTAAAGTCTGAATTAAATGTCAACAGGGGAATTTAATAGATCCCATGAGGCAATACAAAAAGCTCCAAACTAATGGGTGAAATTTCATCTGACATGTCGCGGCAGGCATGTACCTGTGTCCAATAAGTGCCGTGCTTTACAATGTACATCATCATCTTGCAGCACAAATCATGTTCTAAAACAGACCCGACAGTAGACCTGATGCTTAATTTAAATTTGTGCTTTGTGTGTAGTTGATATGAGTCTCTTATGTATGACTGTTGCGAAAAAACCAATCTTATCCTTACTTCATTGGAAAAAGATATAGTTCATGTACCAGATACATGTAAAATGAACATACATGTACCTTTTTATGTCCTGAGACCCAAGTCCTTCAAGGATTTGAAGAACTAAATGAAAGGTGCCTACAAACATGTTAAAGCAGTCAGTTAGACTGCATTATAAAAAAATCATTTTGTCAGTAATGTACAAGTGTCCAATAATGTAAAATACTGGGCATAAGAGCTGAGAAACCTATAGAAATACATACACACAGGTGTACACATGAGTTTGTATACACATTCAAATCATGGACAATAACAATAGGGGACAATAGGGTCCACGGTTGCCGAAAAGTCCACGGTTGGAAAACTTGTACAAAACATATGGGAGGTCTTCCAAAAAAGTTTGAACAAAAGAGGAACAATAGGGAGTCCACGATTGAAGGCGTTTACACAATTGTCTTTGTGTACTTCACTTTACATAGAAATGCATCAAATACATGTACATGTACATGACACATTTTTTCTATTCCACCCCCCCAGAATTTATGAAAGCTAAGAGAAAATTGAATTTCATCTGTCATGACTGTCATTTGCAGAGTTTGGGTGCATTGAAGAACTGGTGCAGGCTGTGGAAGACATTGACTGGCTGTAAGTAGTATACCATTTCACACATGTGCTTAAACGAATGTTACTGTGGGTTATTCAAAATGCCGCAGTATCCCATCAATAGAAGTTTCATGTATGTGTGCACGTACATTGGTAGCTCCATGGCTTCGCTCCTATGTACATATAGCCACAAGTAATTTTGTGTAACTAGCTGTGGACCTTCCCCTCGTTTCCTTTGAATGGAATAAGCTTGGTTGACTTTTACGTGTGTATGCGGATTGACAGGCTGCCTACTGATGTGCAGGCTGAGGCCATTCCATTAATCCTTGGAGGGGGTGATGTCCTCATGGCAGCAGAGACTGGAAGTGGAAAGACAGGGGTGAGGGATTATTTTAACGTCTTGCCATCTTGGATGTTGATCTGCGTGCCATTTACTAAAGCAAAGCTGTACATGCATACATGTATGTATATACATGTATATCCGTGCACCTGAAATCTGGTTTCCATATCAATGTTATGAGATACTGACAGCATCGCTGTCCAGTCCCCTGATGAAACACACTCATAAGAAAATGATTTATCGCGACTCAGATTTATTTGGATGCAGATAGTCGGCAGCATTGGATCACGTTCAATTTTGCCAACTGTCTGCATTGACGGATGCAAACATTCAAGCTAGCATGACTAGCATACAATGATGTCCATCTCCCTTGAATACACTTTATTTATTTGATCCATTTGCTCCTTGTAACTGAGACGGTAAACCCCAGTTTTAGACAAAATCACTGACGATAAATGAAGTACGGTACATCTAATCTTAATACCAGTTTAGCTTCAAGAAATGCCACAACATAAAGAAAGGCATTCCAGTTTCAGATATCATTTTGTTTGCAGTTTCTTTTTGTTGAATGATGTCACAATGAACGATGTTGAAGTGTCTTTTCCGTAACTGTGGTGTCACCAATCATTTTACAACCATAAGGACAGTAGACCTGAAGTGCATAATAACTGTGTAGGTCAATGACTTGGGCTGGTACTGTGTGACCATCATAATGCCATAATTAGTGCCATGATGAGCTGATGGATGGATTTCAAGAAAGTGCACACACTGTGTTCGTCCTCACGCGCATGCCCTGTTGAGTGAAGTGTACCGTAGCTTGTCAGATACAGTTCCTCGTTTGTTCCACAGGCTTTCTGTCTGCCAGTGATTCAAATTGTCCACGAGTCACTGCGAGATGGTGCAAGTGGGAAACTAGAAGGAAAAATCAAGGCCAAAGCAGGTAACTCCATGTTATTCCACTTTCAATTTATCCCTTTCATGTGGGCTCTAAATGTTATTCCTGAAGAGAAACGTCGTTCTCTTTTTTTAATCCGTTTTAGTCCTCTGCAATAATTCACCACAAATCTTGGCATTTTGTGGTCATCCGTAAAGTATCCACACACAACATACTGACTTCTTTGACCCCCTGTGCGCACAGCACAGTGTTTCCAACCCCCCCCATACATATGGTAGGTATTTTGAAATACAAGAAAGTACATTCATTTCATATAAATTAATTTTTGGAAAGTAACTTTGTATGAGCTCATATCCTCAGACCCCCTCTCCCCTTTTCATGGCGTCATCAACCCTCCCCTTCCCCCTTTGTGCATATGTATATTTACAGCGGCCAATTTCACAAAACGTGCCATAACTTTGAATCATGTGTAAGCCTTGCGCCACAAATTTATGCCGTAGCTGCGCAACATGCTTACGTTCACGAAAAGTTGCATAGCTGCACCACGTTTTAATAATATTGATTTTTCTTGGAAGAGGAGAAACACGGCTTTTACGATGGCTGTTCCTTTCCAAACTGTCATTGAATTACGTCTATTCATCTTTTTTTCATCAGAAACGGACAGAAAGTCTTGAAAGTTCTCTCACAGCCAAACAAGTTTTTCATTGCCTTCTACACCAAAGTTGTACGTTTCTCATATAAGCCTTGTTAAGTTCAGCAATGATGAGGCTTAACCAAAGACAATAAGCAAGTCACCACCTAAATTATTGCGTAAGTTACACCATAATGTGTTGCCTAAATCGTGGACTAATGCAGTGCATAAGTTTTGTGAAATCAATCCTAACGTTTTGCACAACTTATCGGTACGCAATAAAATGTGGCGAACGTGGAATTACTGCATTGCGCAAAGTTTTGTGAAATCGGCTGCAGTACATGTACTTTTGGGCTGGCCCTTTCTGCCAAGCTACACCGTGGAGGGTCAATAGATAAGAAGTAATCACACTGTGAGGTTACCTGCTACCACGGGATCCACTGGTGACATTGGCTAGTGGGAATAGTCTGCATTGACTGCCCAATGTTCTAAGGTCCCACAAATTCTAACAGCATACAGGCTAATCAAAGGTTCCTCCACATGCTGTTAGACATTCAACTGTGGCAGGATTTTAAGACGCTATCCGGGCCAGACCTAGCCAGCATCACAGTAGCCCCTACGAATTCTTAGGCCTGTGATCTCATATTTTGTTTTCTCTTTCCTCTTTTTGCCCCAGATACCTCTAAGTGGCAGATGAATGTGTTTGATAGAGGGGATGCCATGGGTAATGCAACAACCTTCTATGTGTTTGTTTGAATTGGAGAACCCAATCCAGCAGTGGTTGATACCTGATGAAACTTGGTTGATTGGAGCAACAAACAAAGAGACCAAACCGTACATGTATACCCTATGCAATTCTGAGATGCTGAGATGAGCATACTTGCATTTCACTCTCTGCTGCTGGGTTGAAACCAGTTTAGTTGTTAAATTTCCTTGGATATTCTTTGTCAGGGCACTTCTTGTATCCTCCTAAATCCACCCCTGTGCATTGGAAATCAGCAACACGTTAATTCGCAGACTTCAGCCTCAAAGGGCTTGGGTCTTCGTTTCAAGTAAATCTGGTGGGGCTGTGCCTTCCTGAAGCCTTTGAAATCAGTCTTTAGATTTCCAGGGGGGTCTAAAAGGCAAGAATTGTTCTCCCAGTTTCCATGTGCTAACCTGAATGTCACATTCACATTGCAAAATATGTCGTTTGTCCCCAAAGCTATTGATGAGTCAGGCCTTTTGTGCCAGAGCAGAGAGTTCTCATGGCATGGGACACGTTCCAACCAAGGCGTTATTAACAGAGGTAAGTTGATCTACCGTACATGTACATGCAGATAGCACAGCTTTGTGTGCAAGAACTGTGAAAAGTTGATTTTTGCCAAGTGGAACTTGACCTGGTAGGTGCCCTGTTGTTGGTACTTGTATAGTGAGGTATGTTAGTAAAGGTTTAATTGTATATAATCTCATAAAGCACCGTTTCTTTCACCCGTCATCGGATTGTATGGTACATGTGTCATTTTTCTCTTCAAGGCAAATACTACTATGAAGCTACGGTCACTGACGAGGGCTTGTGTCGTGTCGGCTGGTCCACGTCCAATGCAAGCCTGGATCTTGGTAGGTGAAAACCAATTTTGCACGGTAGAAAAATCTGAAATGAAAGTTAGTTTGTGAGACTAAATTTAGGTTGCATAGCGGCTCATGTACAGTGCAGATTGCAAACCTGACATCATGTCATTCAAATACATGAATACAGGCTGTTTCTGCAGGGCCTCTAAAATCGCATGTATGTGTATTTTGCTGTGCCTGTCGGTGAATTTAACCCTCTTCTGCAGCAGGGTTGTAAATTCTCCAGTATGTATGAATGTATTGGCAGATGCAGTGAGCACTTGTTTAGGTTATAATCCTGCCTCCGAGACTGTCAGAGCAATGATGCACAATCATGTATGATAGCCATTCTCATCTCAATATCTGAGTGAGATGTTACCGCAGTGCTTGCTGGGCCCAGTTTCATGGCGCTGCTTATCGCAGAATTCTGCGCTTACGATCTCTATGCTGCGCTAACCACACTAGCAGAAAAATTCTGCATTAACCCTTTTAACCCCAGAAACCTTAGTTACGGGATGTATGCATGCGCTTAAGCCAAGATTCCTCGCTAACCCATGAAATACGTTTGCCGTAAGCACAGAATTTTCTGCTACTCTAAAAGTGCCGATTTTTCACTTGCTGTAAGTGGCACCATGAAATTAGGCCCTGATGTTTCTGAAGGAGACATTGCAAAGACATCGCAGTTTGGCGACAGATTGTTCTGTTGATGCACATTGTACAGATGCCAGAGAAGCATTGGAAGGGTTGTTTTAGTGTCTCGATGGTAAGTATTGCTATGTACAGTGGTAGTGCTAGTCATTGATGTACACTAACCTCTTTGTCCCATGAAGTTCAGCCCAGGATCCGCTTGACAGTCCTCCACATTAGTGCATTTGTCATTTTGGAATGATGGCGAATGTTTCAATCGTACACTTTTGTGCAGGCACTGATAAAAACAGCTTTGGGTTTGGAGGCACAGGAAAGAAGTCATTTGGTCGGCAGTTTGACAGCTATGGAGAGGTGAGCAGGGAAAATCGGAATAGTGAGGTTGTCAAAATTCCCTTGAAAGTACACTTGGACTTGCATAATTGCATGAGATGATAGGCCATGATGTAATCAATGGAGTTCAAAACTTGTGACATTTGCAAAATTCCACCTCACCACATTACAAGATTCATGCAGCAGTGCATATGCATTCATACCATGTTCAGAAAAGCTCCCAGCATTGTTTAATGAGGGTATTGGCAAGAGATTAATTAGTGATGTCATTTTCTGCAGGCATTTGGCAAAGATGACGTCATCGGTTGCTATCTAGACTTGGACAATGGCACCATCGAGTACGCTAAAAATGGTAAGTTGAAATCTCTGATTCCTCATTTCTACTTGAGCTTGTCAGGCTACAAGAAGGTTGGGAAATAGAGGTGGAAGAAGGAACTTTGTCCTGAGCTCTAATGAATCATACATGTAGTTCCAGAACTCGTCAGCTGTGGGTTGCTGGATGTGAAGCAAAATGGGTTCCTCCAACAGTTTGCAACGTAATGTGCAAAATCTGTTCACCCTTTCCAAACTCACATTGGGTCGACACATTCCACGTATTGTGATTGGCCAATGCTTTGCAAACTCTTGGAGGTGTGCTCTTGTGAAACATCCGTATTGAAACTCTTGCCTCTTGAGATGAAATGCCAAAGCATCCTTGGCATCTGTCCCAGGTTGCTTCCCCGCAAAAGTGGCGACACCGGCACTGTGGCTGAATAGAAGCAGGTTGGGACTAGGCCTTCTGACCAACGGCACAAGAGCAAGCAGTTGGATTCAGACCATTGCTTTTGACCAGTGGATCAAGATCTCCTAGCACTCATCAAAATGCTGATAGGCACTACTATATTTATCTCTGGGTGGAGGGAACCTGTTAGTGGCCCATCTGCTCACCTCAAACCAGCTGCTTGATTGTCAGTTACATGTCCAAACCTGACACCCATTCTCACAGTTAAACTGTGGGCGGAGGGACTCCTCAATCAAAAGTCGTCATAGCCTGACAAAGGATTCAGTATGTGACCACCGGCTGGATTCGAACCCCCAACCCTCTGGTCATTGCACTTCTAAAGCACTTTGAGCACCGACTTATATTTGACCACCAATGTGTACCTGCATATTTCTCTGGTCACTTTCTCAAGGTGTGTACCTTGGACATGCGTTTGATATTCCTCAGCACCTTCTCAGACAACCAATGTTCGCAGCCGTTGTTCTGAAGGTAAGACTCCAATCAATGTCTTGTTTAAGGAGTGTGTCTTTCATGCTAAATTAAATTATATGCAGGCATATTACAAAACGTCAATGATAACTTTAATAATTTTTTTGATGCTCTGCATTTTTTCATCATAGAATGCTGAAATGAATTTCAACTTTGGAGCCACACAGTTGAAGTACAGACTGGAGGTAATTTATGGCTGTTGAAGCCATGATGGGAGACATTTGTCAACTTTTGATTCAGAAGGTTAAGGTTTTGATATCATTGTCATCGAAGGAATTTTTTCACCTGGCTGTTCCTTTAATTTGATTGTTCAGTGGAACTTTTTACCTTTATGAATAAAATGATCTGAATGGTTCCTTTCCTTAAAGTTAAATTGAGTCTGTCTATGTTCCAGTTCATAATCCATGTAAACCATCAGATTCCTTTCTGTCAAACCATCTGATTCTTCAGAATTTACGTCAACCAAGGAAAAGGCAGATAACTCCCTTTGTGGCTGACTGTATTTCATCGTTCTGATTGAAGCTGGGTGCGTGTAGTGTTAGAGTCAAATCCTATTTCTGAGAACTTTATTTTTCTGCCTTTGCAGGGAGGTTATAAGCCCCTATGCAAGGCGCCAGAAGACTGTGTAATGAAATCCCCTAATTCAGGTAAGACTCAATATTGCCATAGTTGAAGTCAAGGTATCATCTACTAAATCTTCGCCATTTCCTTGCCTTCCCTCATTTACTACTGGCAGCTTAGTTAGATTTTGTGCATGGCATTTGTATCTGATTCCAATTATAAGGTGCAGGTTACAACTACCTGATTACATGAAGAGCATTTGAGACAGTTACCCCCCCCAGCTCTTTTTTGTATTTTTGTTTGTTTTTCGTTTGATCAGAATCAGTACTAAATGAAAAAAATTAACCAATCTTCCATTTCAAGGGCTTCAGTATTGTTACATAATAAATGCAAACATGGCACAATGCTAGTATTTTCAGTACATAGATGTCAGCATTTGCTACATGGTGATGGATCGGGGACGATTTTGGCTCCTAGTAAAGGAATGCCTGGGGTCTTTGGTCGCTTATGTGACATATTCTTTTCTGTTGATCACTTGCAGCTGGACAGCAGGCCATATCTGGCAAAGCCCAACCTAATGCGCCCAAAGCTATCATACTTGAGGTCGGTCAACAAGGACTTTCACTTTTTTATAAAAAATTGATTCACTGTGACAAGAAAAACCTAAATGTTCTATTGATTGATAGATTGATTATTAATTGATTGATAGATCACGGAGGAAAAGCTGGTTATTTTTATCCTAGCTTTGAAATGACCGCTTCTTAGAATTATTTTGAAGAATGTTGTGGAACAGTTCATTCAAGTTTGTCAAAGAATAGAGGTTATGCGTTAACACGTCCTCAGAGGGCAAGAGCTTTGTACCACTGGGCTAGGCTCGAGTAAACCATTTGTGCATTTGTTGTAACTAACTTGAAATAACAAAAACAGCCTCTGATGAGACACCATAGGGATACCAGCGACACAGAACCTCTGTCTTTGGGCAAATCTTGTAGCTGAGTAGACTAGCCATAACCTCAAGGGAAGTGCAGAGTCTTTGATCCATTGGTTTGAGTAATGCTAATGTTAGATTGGCTTTCAACATTTGCCTTCATGGAACTTTGTTGTTTGGTTCCCAACATTTAGGCTGCCAAAAACTTTACATGAGCTCATCTCCTGCACTGTTGTTAGATACACACATATCCTATTTAATCCCGTCTATTTAACTTTGTTAAACTGTTGTTTACATTTCTTGTTTACAGCCGTCAAGGGAATTAGCTGAGCAGGTATGAATGACCTCATTTGTCTGCAGTCATTGATTTCCAAAGTTTCTGTCAGAAAATTGGAACAAAATCACAGAAGTGGTCCATAATATATGCCTGCATTCCTGTGTATTCTCAAATACAGCTTTGCCAAGTCACCTGTTAACCTATGTTATGTGCTGCACCTTCTGTATGGACATGTATTTATAATTTTGTGCATATTTATTTGTGTGTTTGTTCACAGACTCTCAATCAGATCCGGCTTTTCAAGAAACATCTGAACCAGCACAGCCCAAGGTCAACTCATGTTCCATTTTCTTCTATTTTTTAGCAATGCTTTCTTAACCTTTTGATTAACTCAGAAAAGTTTCGTGATAGGATATGTCTCGAGAGTTATAATGCTCGGAAGATTGCTGTGAGAAGAAAAATCCGGTCAATTCAGCAATGTGCACTTGTCACTCTGATGAAAAAAAATGCTCAGAATGCCGTCGGAAATGAACTTGAAATGCCCAAAATGTAAGCGGACCAGTGGGAGGTCTTTTTCAATAAGGAATGCACATTTCTCTCTTGGACAACCTGGTAACGCTAGGGCACACGCTTGTGAGTGTACATGGTCGCTTTCAAAAGAACACTGAGTTTTAAAACCGTATTTGTAAATACCTAAGAAGACAGTTTAGCCATTCCTATTGGATGAGAGCCTGCCACATGGCTGGTCTTCAACATTTGATAAAGCACTGAATGGCTGTGCACCACTTCAAGCATTACATGCACCAATCTCTATTTATGGCAACTTCTCCCAAGAGGAGCATACTATAACATGGCTAGAGGGGTGTTTAAAGAAAAAAATAATGTAAAATTGTCGAACAAAATCTTTGGAAATTAACAGTTTTTGAAGCCTTGTTTTCACTTTGTGACTCAAAAGGTATTTGTGAATGGGACTAAGTTTAAATCCAGCTCCAGAGAATGGATGCTGATAATGTCCTTTGGCTTATCAGTGTCCATTCTCCTGATCCTGTCAGCCTGCATTTATTTAGTTTATCAGTTTTCCCTGAACTTTCTTGAGAATGATTTGTTGCATGTTCTTACATGTGATGCATGCAGGGAGTTGTTGATTATTGGAGGCATGCCTGCCAAACAGCAAATTGATGCCTTGCAGAATGGGGTGAGTGAATTTCCTCCCCTCTCCCCTCGTTTTCCCTTTTGTTGGTTATTCAGCTTTTTGTTATCTCCATGCTCTTGGTCAGTATCCCTGTTGGGCCAATTGCTCTGTCTGTTCACCATAAGCTGGTCTTAGTTTCAGTTAAACAAGGAATATCTATTTATTTCTGGCCAGTTTTTGAAATTCTACCTCCAATTCATTCAACCAATGTAGAGAAGCTGTATGCGCCAGGGTAAAATTCTAGCCCCTTTTCAGAACTACCTTTTATCCTCAAGCTGGTTAGAGTCAACCTAAAGTTATTTACAAGATCGTGTTCTTGTTTATGTTACATGTAAGTTGCAACAATCCTGTGCAACGAAAACAAAATCCTCCCCAAATCCCAAATTCATACACTAGTAGGGAACCCATTCGCAAAGGTTAACATGGCTCCTTGCTTGTCATCACCTTTTGTATTTACACTCATGCCCAGATTGATATAGTGGTGGCGACCCCTGGTAGAATTGATGACCTTATCGGCACTGGCAAACTCCTACTGAATCAGGTAGATTGGACTACTTGCACTCCTGTAACATTTCTATTATAATTTTAAAGCGGCAATAAACTTTGGTGCAAACCCCTTATGAAGTGGCCCATTACTGTCTGCCCTCATGTACAGGATGATTGTTAAGGTCAATCCAACAACCACTCTTGCTTAATAACTGTGCGTACATCCCAATTGCTGTATGATTCAAAGCGCACATGCATTTCCTTGTCAAGTTTTAAACATGCCAGTGGGCCAAAAATAGCTTTGAATACAGGCCAACACCTACATACACCCGCAAGCGGTTTCCATCTTGCGCATTGGATGATTCCCCTCAATTAACGTTATACCTCGAGCACCTTTGCTGCACCATGCCAGGTCAAACACCGAGAGGCAACATCAAGTAGCTCCAAGTTGGACAAAGATTGACTGTGTATCATTTCTTGAAGACATTCTGTTATTGTGTTTCCAGTTTGTGGAGCTCCCTTGTCACACCTGATTTACAGTTGTAATAATGTAACTTGAAAATATAAACTCTCCAGTAGCTCCTTCATATGACTTTGTACAGTAACTGTCAAGTTTCCATGTTAACTTTCTGGATGCATCTGTCAATGTGAATTTGGTTCTATTAACTTGCAGGTTCAGTTTTTCATTCTTGATGAAGCCGTAAGTTGTGATATTTACATTCTCAGTCCTTTTATTTGGCCCAGGTATATTTTCTTCTTAATACATGCTGCCTCCATGCATTCAGTCAACATCCACGTGTACAACTTTGATGCATGGGCGTCAATCAGTGCGGGATGGGGGACAATCAATGGGGGACAGGGGTACATGCCCGCCCCCCACTAACCCACGTTATATCTAATCACTTGTCCCCTCCACTTTGTTTTTTTAATGTAGGGGGAATAAGCCTGCATTTGATTCATATCTCAGGTAAAACTTGTTTGGATATGAAATTAATCCTGCAAAAATATTTCCAGGGCTCTCAAGCGGGCCCCGAACCTTGCACTGTTAGGGCTCCATGCTTCGCACTCGCATTGAGTTCTAATCGAGATTATCCCCCCCACTTTTGAAAAGCAACTGACGTCCACGCCCTTACCGTACATGTGTAACAACTGTTGGAGAAATGAACACATGATCACCAACATGGCTAGGTGTACATTTCGCCTAAAAGCCAAACAGACTGTGAAGGGTTGCTTTCACTGTTGTGTGCAGGATGGCTTGCTGTCAGCTGGCTATGGGCAACAGATCAGCCGCATGCATGAGCAGATTCCCAAGGTGACCATAGATGGGAAACGACTACAGGTAAGGCATGCATGCGACCCTGATACCAGGGTTTGCATGGTCATGGAAAAATCTTGGGAAAAAAGGCCCTGGAAAACTCATGGAAATTTAGGGAATAAAAAATGGGTGCCCTGGAATCATGTTGTCAGAGGGAAAAAAGTCATGGAAATCTGAATCATGCAAGGGATAATTTGAACGGGCCACTTTTGGATTTGATAACGGAATAATGATTAAATTTTCAAGCTATCCTTGTCCGTCTGTAGTCGTGGGTGTGGCAGTCAACCAGTTCATAAACAACATTTCTCTACTACATGGCACTATATGTCACAGAAATGGTCCTGGGAAGTCCTGCAAAAGTTCTGGAATTTGGTTTCAGATTTCTGTGAGAACTTGGACAGTGATCGGTGCCAGTAATCACATCTTGTTAGTGCAGCCGAACCATGCCAGCAAAATGACAGTGCTATGTGTAGAAATACTTGTCAGGAGATTTTTACTCATTGTGCATGCATAGAGCATGTCCTTAACTTCCTTCTGGCAAACAACACACAGATGATTTGATTTCCAATCAAGAATATTTCAGAGTCTCCCGGTGCAGTTGAATAGTGTAAAGTCCAGAGAGTGACATCTTTTACTAGCATATTATAGAAACACCTTTGGGACTAGAATTCTCTTAAGTGTTTATACCATAGTCACCGCAGGGTTTCCATTTGCTGTGTTGTTAGATATGGGATAATGGTTATTTGTCACCTGAAATTTGAGAAAGTTGAATTTTCATTGACGGGGATTTGTTTCTCCTTCGAGTTTATTGGGTTTTGAATCCACTTCTCAAAGTTTACATGTAGATATGTTTGGACAAAATTGACATTAAAAGTGGATTTTTTTCCTTTCATTTTTACAGATGATTGTTTGTTCTGCAACCCTGCATTCATTTGAAGTGAAGAAACTTGCCGTAAGTAAACCGTCAGTTCCTAACCTTCAGAAATCCTCATTAGCATCTTGGCTTGATGCCTCTGTATGTGGGTACTACATGTCACACAGTTACTAGCTCGTTTTTACCTACTGTGCATTTCAGTCTTGCACAGATCTGACTCAATCACAGATTTGACTTTCATCACCTTCAAGACGTAGCGTTCGTGTTTGTGATAGCATCCCTCGACCACCCTTTAAAAAATGAGACATTCTTGATTGGGCATTTCAGGAGAAGTTGATGCATTTCCCAACATGGGTGGACCTGAAGGGTCAAGACAGCGTACCAGAGACCGTCCACCACGTGGTAAGTCATCGCTCATCACGTTCCCGTTTGTCGTCCATCTGCTGCAGGAGTTAGGTTATTGTTCAGTGGTTGTGGTTTAGTGGTGAGCACTCTAGTCTCACAGTGTTGTTACTTTGGGGGCTGGAAAAGTTTTAAGGGAGACACCAAGGCCCCACAACCTTGTCCAGAGTTCCCTAATTTCAAAGATCTTTCAAAGATCTCACTGTGTGATTGTGACCAGAGAGCACTACGGAAGTGCTTGCAGAAGGTGTGTAACAATCTTAAACCGTGGCACCTCAGAGGAGAAGGCACAGTGTTTGTTGTTATTCCCGTAATGTAACACTCCACCATGTGCTAGGCACGCTCATTCTACCTTTGAGGACTGGATTTGTTTCAAAAAGATTGACTATGGAGGACAGGAGAAATCTTTTGGTCTTTTATATTACTGTCCTCTGTTGTAAAGCCACACACAAGCACGGAGAAACATGTTATGACCATGTTGCATTGTTTCTTCCTGTCGTTAGGTCGTCAAGGTGGATGCCATCAGCGATGCCTCCTGGCAACGCAAAGGAAACAAAGTAAAGGTATGCTTTCAGAGAAATTCCCGCCTCAGAAACAAGCAGTTGTCAGTAGTTTATACCGCATGTTTGCTCCAGCAGTATCAGTCTTTCAGTTCGGGGATGGAATTTGACTGTGTGGATGTTGGCAATGTTTGCTTCTGGGGTGAGCCTTTTTTGCAGATAATCAGAGTGAATTTTATCTTGCTTGTAAGCTTCGCCGTGGAAAATCCTGGGAGAAAAGTTATCCTTGCAAGTCATGGAAAAGTCATATAAAATTGGTCAAAAATAGGGCATCCTGGATTCCCATTGTCTGGAGAAAAAAGTCATGGGAAAATTAATGGAAATCAAAGATAATGCAAGGGTTATTTTGATGGAATAACAGACGACTGACAATTGTAGAGGCTACATGTACACTGTATATCTTGATCTGTCTCAGTAATAGTGGCTATGGCAGTCTTGCAGGTCATAATACCAGACAACGTTTCTTTACAAAATGGCATTAAGTGGCATTGAAATTGTCATAGTTCTGAAAAGTCCTGTAAAAATAATGGAATTTGGCTGTGGGAACCCTGTCAAGGGACCCGTGCCTGCAGCCCCTTTCTTTTTTAAAGATGTCCTACTCACTCATCAACCGAGGCCGCCACAGCCACCTTGCAATGTTGGAATGCATTTACCATGCGTGCAGATGTTCACATCCAAGGAGAAGGAAATCCTCTTAAAATTCACATCAATCTTATGTAAAGCGTTTACAAATTTATTTCACGCAGATACTGAGTGTCATAACTACTCTTTAGCAGTCTGAAGGTTTGATTGGTTAAGCCAAGTTTGCATTGTATGTAGCCTTCATGGGTAGCAAACCTGTTTGCTCACATTACTGCAGTACCCTTGGAAGATATAATAAACAGTAAACAAACTGTTTACTGTACTGTAGTTGTAAACAGTGGGTAACTGTTACCAATCTCATTGGTGTGTTGAATTGTATTTGATGTATTTCCTAACAGACCGATGGTGTACATAGCAATGACAGAATACAGTACGGCAGTCAGAGTAGAGGTAGGGGCTCAGTCTGTAGAATTCTGCTCCTAGGTTTTCCCCCATTTCTTCATCCATCTGTCTCCTCACAAACAATATTTAAAACTCGGCAGGAAAGGGAAGGTTTTCTTTGTTCATGTGAGCTGTCCTTGTGAGTATTATTTTATTATTTGACTAAACTGATCAACATTATTGAGTCAGTTGTTGATGTGCATTTTTTTTTCTCGGGGGGTAATTGAAATCCGTGTCTTGATCGCCAAATTACAAAAGTTCTATGCACAAAGTGGGGTGAGCACAAACACATGCACACTATAAAAGGTTTTGTGAAGAAATCAGTTTAGAAACATTTATCAAGCATTGCAGGACTCATCACATGCTAGGAATCTGTCAGATGCAAAAATCATTCTTATTTTTATGATGCCGTGAGTACAGTTGCCTGTTCCCATGAGCTACAAAAAATATCTGCCTCAACATGAATATGTAGTTTTAACAAAACGATAAAGTTTATAACAATTTGAGTGCATAGCACAATGAATCTCTAGATACTTGTTTGTCATTAACCCTCCTATGCTGAAGTCACTCTTTGGGTCACTTGGTAAACACCTCAAAGAAGCACAGCTGTGTTGTGTTGTGCACTGCATTAACCCTCCTATGCTGAAGTCACTCTTTGGGTCACTTGGTAAACACCTCAATGAAGCACAGCTGTGTCGTGTCGTGCACTGCACCAACAGTCCCTCACAGGAATGTCAGATTGCACTTTTGTGCTGCCCAACAACTGTGCTTCACTGTTTGTGCTGCCCAACAACTGTGCTTCACTGTTTCATGTGCATAAATGTGCAGTAAACCAAATGCAGTGAAGAGGACTGCACAAAAGACCC